TAGTTATTATTATTTCATTCAGTTGATATTGCCTTTGTTAAAGTATATTTTAATATTACTTTATGTGTGTGTATACTAAATTCCTGAAAGTAAGCTATTTTTGACAATAAAGTATACCACTAGATGGCGTTGACCAAAAGTTGAATAAATAAAAAATGATATACATACGAGTATATAGAAAAGTCAATGTTTTTATATCACATCGCAAAAGACTTCCAAGAGTGCAAGCGAAGCGAAAATAAGCCACTAGTATAAGAATATAAAATTCCCTAAAGTACAATACAAAGTTATAAGTTAAAAAGAAAAAACTTCTTATAAAACAGTTTCATTCCACTCTACCCCATTATTCGCGCTTAGAATATAAGTTTTTTGTGTTCCCAAGGAATATATTGTGAATTTGACAATTCCATAAATTTTCAGTTTATATTTAATTAATCTATATAGATAAAAAATAGACCAGTAAAATTGAAATCCCTGTTTGTAATGTCAAAAAAAAAACAGCTTTGATAAATGAATAAATAAAATATAGAGAGCCGGAACAAACTTGTGTCTGAAGTCGAATCTCTGTTAACCAAAGTCTCGGATTGGGGTCGACTAAACTTAGTCCAATTCAACCCCAAAAAGACACAAGTTTGCGCGTTAACCGCTAAAAAGTCGCCATTTATCGTAGCTCCTCAATTTGAGGACACTCCTCTGTCTCCCACAGCCAGTATCGGAATACTTGGCGTCCACATCTCGAGCAACGTCCAGTGCCGTGGTCAATTGGAAGGTAAGGCCAAACTGGCCTCAAAGAAGCTTGGTGTGCTCAGCAAGACGAGACAGTACTTCACGTCGCGTCAGCGTCTTATTCTTTATAAGGCGCAAATTCGGCCCCACATGGAGTACTGTTCTCATCTTTGGGCGGGAGCTCCCCAGTACCAGCTACTTCCATTTGACCGCATTCAACGTAGGGCGATTCGAATTATCGACGATCAAGCTCTCTCCGATCGGCTTGATCCTTTAGCTCTGCGTAGAGATGTTGGATCACTCTGCATCTTCTACCGCATCTATCACGGGGAGTGTTCCGAGGAATTGTTCGGACTGATCCCGGCTGCTGAATTTCACCATCGGACATCGCGCCAAAATAGTAAATTCCATCCACACCATCTCGATGTCCAGCGTTCCACAACAGTGCGATTTTTAAGGCATTTTCTGCCCCGCACAACCACTCTGTGGAACCAGCTATCGCCGGCGGTCTTTCCGAACCGCTACGACCTGGCCACCTTCAAGAAGAGAGCGTATTCCTTTCTTAAAGGCCGGCAACGCGTCTGCAAGCCCTGCGGTGTTGCAGATGTCCATGGGCGGCGGTAATCACTTTTCATCAGGTGAGCCTCCTGCCCGTTTGCCCCCTTAGTCCCATAAAAAAAAATATAATATATAATAAATATAATATAATATATATATATATATAAAAGAAAAGAAAAATGATGAAATCATATACGGTACCTGCTAATACGAAAAACACATTTTTTTCAAATTTCTGCCTGTCTGTTTATTACGACTTATCACTGAAACGGCTGGACTGATTTTAATGAAACTATCACTGGCAGATAGGTGATGTTATAAGGAGTAACTTAGGCTACTTTAATTTTTAAAAAGAATTAGGGTTCCGCTAAACAAAATAAAAACGTACCTTCTATCTAGGGACGTGTAAAAATATAAACATACCTAATAATATAGAGCTTGTATTTAGTTTGAGCTTGCTACCTACGTCGAAATATCTCAGTAGTGCTGTCAAACTCATACTTGTTATTTTGAAGTAGCAAACTAAATGTCTCGGTAATTGCGTGTCTACTCATACCTCTCAACTTCACAACAAACAAGATACCAAGTACTAGCTTTCCTAAATAAGTACAGACGTAATACGTGAAGGAACCAGCGTGAAAAAGCTTATTTTTAAATTTAACTAATGACGCTCACTTACTTAGCTTTAATTTTTGGGATTCTGTACTAATTATAAAGCTCGAGAGTTTGTTTCATCGACCACACTAATCTGGAACTGTGCAGATACGAATAATGCGAGTAAAGCCGCGGGCAAAGCTTAAGTAAGCTTTAATTTTTAAGCTCAGATAAAGAAAACATATTTTATAGCCATGTCGAGTAATTGCTGTATAAAAGGAAGATAAATGTGGAACATTTTTTTAAATTGAAATAGTTTTATATAATACACTTTTTATATAACGATGCCATAACATAGTTTTCTAGTTTAAAGGTTATTTACCAGTAGATAGGCAGTATATATATATATATGGTTTTAGGTAAATAATTGACTGAAATGAGCAACTTCTATCCAGCATACATCATTTAATATGCAAAAAGCAAGAACATTGAGTTAGCTGTGGCAATGCACTAAAGTCCACGTAACATTTCATGCCTTTATACTGATGCAATATCGTAAAAGACAAGGTTCCCAGACTCCGGATTCTTATTTAATAAGCAGATTTTATATTTTCTTATAAAACAATTGCGAAAATCTTGTTAGCATAGCAACCATTAATTCTGTAGAGTTCTTTAATGCATACATTTTCCTTTTTATATGAAAATGGAAAGAAGAGTGAGAAGTTATCATCTCCCCCATAACGGATATAGAGAAAGCGTACTACTTTACTTGATGGAAAAATCCATATCATTTAAAAACACTATTAACAAAGCTCTACCCTTTTGCATAACCACGATTGTCCTTAAGAATAAAAGCTGCTATTAAGCTGCGTCAAAATCACCCGCACTCTTACACTACATTCATTAGAACCCGCTCAAAACACGCTTTTAACGCATTTCAGGCTTGTGAGTAAACAAGGAAGTTAAACACCAAGCACCAAGGTTGAAATTGCCGTAACCAGATTACGCTGATGGATGACACGTCCACAGACAACTTTAGGTAGCTTTGAATAAAAGCTTTTGGGAAACCAAGTTTCAGATACCTAAAAACGCGTTTTTTTATAAAAGGTCATTTTTTTTCAAATTGTTCTGTTATTTTTCGTCGTCATCAACACTAATGTTATAAAGAGATAAATTTTGTAAGTTTGGATATAGGGGGTAATCTCTGGGACTACTTTGCATATGAATATTTGCATAATTTTTTTTTTGCTACCTTTAAAATATCTAAATTTTATTAACTTTAAAGTTTATGTTACTCGTATATCATTTTATATTATTTATCTCAATTACTTATACGGCTTTAAAAACAACATCAGTAATAAACAATGGTAAATCCACAGTGAGCTGACAAGAAGTACTACCCTTAATTATCCACCCTCTTGTAAACAACGCGTAATTAGATTTAAGCAAAAGAAATAAAACGATGTGTTAATGCAAATAATCTTCTTCGCTTTTACATAGAAATTTATGGAAAAAGCCAAAAATACTTGCTATCCCGTTAGAATAAAAAATAATGGAAAACAAATATTTTTTATGATATTACATACAGCTTACAGTGAATATTGAACAAGAGATTTAAAACACGTTCACAACAAACTACAAAATAAATAAACAAAAGCAAAATAGTATTAGTTTCACTAAGTGGCTTCTGAAAAATATTTTGGCAGAAAAAAATGTTTTGGCAAAAACTAAAGTAACTTAACTAAGCAACTGTCACTAGATTCGATTATATATTCGTACAGACAACGTTTGACGTGGTATAAATCAATATACCTGCAATTACAGAACTGCAAATATACTACATAATCCATTATTTTATTTAAAGCATTTGTATCAAGAGAAATATTTCTGATTTTAGTAAATAATTCTTCACTATGGAAAAATACTACATAGACTATTAAGATGATGAAAAAGTCATAATTTATAGTAAGTTTAAGTTTACTGTTACTGTGTTTCGAAGTAGTTGCAACACCTAAACGATAGAAAAATAATTTCTATAGGAAAGTTATACAAACAAGAGTATATAAGCTAAAAAGTTTTATTTATAGAAATTGCAGTACTCAGCATTCAGTTAGGAAATCTTTGGTAAAATACGTTTAATAAGAATTGCAAATTATCATATTTGAATAGAATACTATGTGGCGTACTAAAAACATGCCTGTTAACTTAATTGGAAGCGAATTTAATTCTGATGGAAAATACAGTTATATTTCGGGCTATTAAAATCGACATTGTATTGTAAGGCGATAGCCTAGTGGTAAAGAGCTCGCTTGGGAAACCGAATGAAGCAGGTTCAAAGCTCGGGGCTCATACCTATGATATTTTCATGTGCGAATCATTTCTAGCAAGATTACCACTTGCCTTACGGTGAAGGAAAGCAACGTGAGAAAAAACCTGGGTGTATTAGAGAACCTAGCAAGTTTTCGTAAGACATGTAAAATCCGCCAACCCAGCCAGGCCAGGTCAGCATGGTGAACTATGGCTAGATCACCCTCTTATTGAAGGAAAGACCGTTCCCAGCACAGAACACTACTACTCTGGCGAGGTTCCCAACAGTGGGACGTTAAAAAGGGCTGAATACATTGTAAGGTACTTTAATGGCATTTTTCTTTTTCTTGCTAATCATTGTGTAATTTTGAGGGTAGGCACATTCTATAATAACAGTAGTTTGAGAGAAGTCAACCACCATAGGTCCTAGATTTTGCCGTGATCATATTCGTGTAAGACCTTCGAAACATCAACAAGCAAAAATCAAAATAAAAACCCAACAAAATTCGAAAAGAGTTAATTTTATAAGGTTTAAAATTCTACATAAAAGTTTGTACCACCAATAAGTCAGCTAATAAGCGAGTAAAGTGCTACCATTTTAGTATTACTTTAGACCATTAATAACAGCGACAATCCACCCGCTTTTTATTTCAGCACATCGCGTCATACTTGCCAAATTTTTGGCCAATCGTAATAGTCGCCTGCCAATTTTTATACTCGAAAGGGGTCACCTATTTCTGAATATAGTTTAGCCGCATTTTATGATACAATTCTCTATGCATTTGTATTGCTCGATATAGAGAAGCTCCAATTTATTTTGTATCTACAATACAGTTTAGTAATTTGTTTTCAAATCTAAACCCTGTATCCATTTCTGTATTCAATGTCGAACTCTGCATGTTAGATATAATCCTGAAATCTTTACCAATAAGCTACCTCGGCTTCCTTTTATTTAACTCCATATTATTTATGATTTTATATCTTACTGTCTGTCCACTGTCACACAACTTCAATGTTGCAGAATACTAGGTACTTCAAGCACACGGATGTCTGACATAACACCTTTTATGTATGAATTGAGGCGCACGAGGTGTCGATAGCTATATAATGACATTATATAACTATCGACAACATGATATAGTAACATACAACAAGTATATATATATATATATATACATATATATATATATATATATATATATATATATATATATATATATATATATATATATATATTTAAAAATGGACATTTTGTATTCACAATAAAAATTAATTTGAATACTTTCGTAGCTTTTACTAAATAAATTAATTTTCATTATTATAATTGGTATTTGCTTGTATAAATGAATTAAATTTAGGACGCGAGCTAATGTAGAAACAAAAAAAAAACCATATTAAAACACACTGGAGAGTGTGAATAGAAAAACTAAATATTATTTTTGTTATTGTTTTTGATTGCTTATGAGAAGATACTTTTATATATGTATGTACTAAAAGTTCTTAATTAATAAAGGCTGACATTGAAGAGGTTATAACACAGCACATAGTTAGTTCACTGAATTTATATCATATTATTTAGACTACGCTTTTTGTTTCCGAGTTATTACGATTCTATATATTAAATTAGCAATTCTAGTATATATGTATATAAATACATTTATGTATTGAGAAAACGACTGTAACGATTTGGATTAACTTTTTTATTTAAATAAGGTTTTGCTTTTTAATTTTATAGGTTATATACGAGCAGGTGTCTTTTCTGAAAAAAAAACGCATTTTTATATCTATTCCGAAAAACGCACAACGAAGTTCGGTCGCCCACGTACTATAAAGGAAATAAATGAAGTATAACATCCGTAAAAGTACTTACCGTTCTATTTCCAAGGTTTCTCACTTTGCAGTTCAAATACGCAGATTTGCCGACAAGCGCGGTGACGTTGCGGGGGGTCGCCGCGTCAAAGGACGGCGCGAGTCGCGAGCTGCCCCCCGCAGGTAGCGCGTTCACGGAGCCCGCACCGCCCGCCACGTCACATGCACCTAGAAAGATAACACACGTTTACTAAACAACCAGTCGTGTGTGAGTCTTCACGCAAATATTCCATATCAGCAAATAAATTTAATATTTATATCAGATTATTTTAATTGCAAAAGTTTATATGTATGTATATATACGCCCGTGTGAGTCCTGTTAATTCTCTGATAACAGAGTATCGTGGGGAGGTTCCGTTTAGTTTTAGTGGGTGGCTGGCTTTTATACCCGGTCAGTCTCACATACACCTGTGTGTAAAGTGGTATACGTAAATTCATTTCCCAACGTTAAAAAAAGGAACCTGGGTATGCAGAGTGAAGCAAGGGTATTTTGCTAGATTAGCAATAAAATGTAATTAGATATTAATTAGAAGTTGAAATTCGTATCCCTCTTCTATCCCCTTCAACTACTTGTTACAGTAGTTACAGACAGTGCCCGTGAGAATATATTTCTCACCAAGGTAATTCCAATCAAATTAATAATCAAAGTATGTTTCAATGGCAATCAGTATAATATCATTAGATTATGTTATTGATAACTAATTAATATATAAGATTAATAGCACGTAAAGCTGATATCTCCCTGGTCGTATCAAAAGGTCATCCCACCGGAATATGAGAGTGACTCCTGTCAATCTCATATTCCGGTGAGAGACACACATAGAGAGTACACTGGTGTCAGCGTGTACACTGGTGCACTATAATATCTCCTGCAGTTGGATAGTCTCATTGAGATTGGCCACCGTGGCCGAAATAGGTCGGGAGGCCATTATATTAGTATAGTATATCCAGTGAGTAATTTAGATGTAAATTCACTATATTATATACTTACATATGTATGTATGAAAATGTCCATATATACATATGTTGTCATTTTATACCTAAATGAAGCCAAATTAATTGGCTAGTAGTGTAATCTTATTATGATAAAACATTGAACATCATAGAGATTGATTACTTAACTAAAGAGGTACGCCAACTTCGAAATAACTTTAAATGTAATTATTCCACTTGAAATTAAATGGAGTAACCCTTAAGGGTTTTCAACTTAACATATTCATTAATAAATTAGTAATTAAAATCAGTTCTCAATATGCGAAGATATCCCATATATGTACATCCATACTTATATAATATCACAGACCATATAATACTATACTAGATAATATTATAAATGTGAAACTGTGTTTGTTTGTCCTTCTGTCAGAGTGACGGATTGGTTTGATTTTTGTGTGTAGATATTTGGAGGGCTGGAGAGTGACATAAGCTACTTTTTACTGCGGAAGATTATCTCATTTCCACGAGAAAACGCACATCAACTCATCATATCTATGTATATATAATAAATAGTCTATATATATTCCATACTAACCGATAAAACGTACCTAGGGACGAACCTGAGCGAAGCCTGTGAGGAGCCGTTAGTAACATAACTTATAAGCCTATTGAATACTTCTTTTTTGCAACACACTTCAGTCAAATAACAGTATCAGAAAATCCGATTACAAAGAGTTAGCACGAAAATATAATACGTTAATGCTAGTTATATACGAAAACACTCTAAATAAGAGGATTTCAGAGAGCCGCGTCGAGGAACAAAGAAGTGAACTGAGCGGACCAAGATCCAACATTGTGTGGTTGAATTGTTTAATTAAGAAGCGAGAAGTCACAGCATCCGGAGATCTGACCAAATAATATAAGTCATTGTTCAAAACACGCTTACTTTAAGGGAACCTTTTTTAATATTACACCAGATATTGCTATTTTATTAAAATCATTTTATTTAATTATTCTTCATATATTTGAGATATTAAACATTTTTATATGATATAATTATGGAGACCGAACGTATAACACTCGCATGAGATCCGTATAATAAAAGCGCCTTGTAATATAGTGGCTACTATGTACGGGTACAGATCCGGTGGTCCTGGGATCGATTCCAAACCTGTTAAATATAATAATTTATTTAAGTTTCAATGCTACGTAGTTGGCAGTAGCAGTCCACTGTTGGAAGTTAGCCTACCTGACTGGTGTCTTGAAATCCTACCAAAGAGATAGATCTCGTATCGAATTATTGTTTCGTTTGACTTTGAGAGTGTAAGAAATACAGAATGCACTTAACTTTACTGCCCTCCCGAACCTAAAGTGCAGTAACAGCAAAAACACGATTTCGAGAAAAACGCGCTTAAAGTTTAGAATCCATAAAAATATATCAAAAAGAGACTTTTCGATAAAACCTTGAATGGAAAGTGAAAGAATATGTACCAAACTAAAATACTAAACATTGTTACGTTAGTTTTTGTATAAAAAACTATAATTATGGCAATTTTAATTTTTTTGCCCCTTTTACTACACACACTTTATTTGTATAATCTTTTCAAAAACTGTTTTAAATGCAGTAAATCCTGTTATTACTGCATTTTAGACATTTCTTCCATGATTGTTACTAACTAAAGTGCAGTAATATTATGAAAATACTGCTATTTAATCTGTTTTTTTGAACAAAACACTGATATTCCACACTTATAGTAATATAAAATTACCTTTAACTTTGATAAAAATATGTAATTTCTTAAACAAAACTGGACATGCATTTATGACTATGTTATTAAAACTATTCATCAAAACATTGTACATTATAATCTAATAGTGTAAATTGTTTTATATGACTAACAATATAACAATCTTTACAAGATGTTGATAATCTTAACTAGTTAATCCTCTATAAAACTATATCACATGTATTTCTCATGCATGGATCAATAAAATTTACATAAAACCTTTCTTCTGAACATAACTAATTACTAAATGAGTATTCTTGTCTTACAAAAATACTAGTCTGAAAAGATTATGAAAGGGAGAACTAAGGAGAATTAACTTATATGGGAAACAGGTTGAAAAAGTGTCCAGTAGTGAGCAGCAAATTATAGCTCAGAAACTCACCGTTAAGCCTAGTTCGCATTAAGCTAGTATTTTAGTCTAGTAGCGAGTAATTTAGTAACTAAAGGTGTCTGAACACTAAAAATTTAGTCGATTAGTTTAGTAAGTAATTTAGTCGAGTCAATCCATTTTATTCTATTTTTTTGGGCAAATTGCAGCCCCCACCACGCGTCCGAGTTCACTGGTTCACCGGCTAAACAAGTACGAACCTGTCGTATTAGTCGAGTTTATTAGTTGCCGCCATAACATTCATTAACAGAAAATATACACAACTTTCGGACATTCTCAAACTATCGAAGTATTCTTTGGGATCTTCCAATGCTAATTCCTTCAGAAGACAATTAGTAGCTCCTAGTTTATCTTGTCTTTCGATCCATTTTCGTACCCATAGCTTCTTTTTATTAATCACACAAATTTCCTCATCCACCTCTTCTAAAATAGCCGTTACGATCAGCTTAATCAGTTTATTTACTTTATTGCGTTGTAGGCTGTTCATCTTGCAAAACACCACTCACTTGTAAACTGTACTCGACCAAAGTGCGAACGATTTTTGGTGAGTAGCGAGTAATTTAGCTACTAAATTACTCGCTACTAGACTAAAATACTAGCTTATTGCGAACTAGGCTTTACAGCACTAGCGTAGCAAGTAGATGTGATGTGAAGTTAGTAGTTTTTAACGGAGTGACGTGTGCCGAATTATTATTACTTGAAAATAATATATAATTATATTGCTGTTTGCCTATGCTAGAACTATTTTGAAAAGTGCGCCACAGCAAAGCGGAAATCTTTGTTTCCTTGTTTAATTCACCTTCTTACTTTTATGACGTTATGTTTTAAACTAGCGACTCACCCTCGCCTCACTCGGGTTCGTCCCTGGATACTTTTTTTTGAGCGGAACTCTAATCCTTTTTTTCAAATAAAAGTAGCCTATATTACTCCCTATAACATCAGTTACCTTCCACTGAAAGTCCGTCAAAAACAGTCCAGCCGTTTCAGAGATTATTCGGAACAAACAGACAGACAAAAAATTTTAAAAATTAGTTTTTCTTATAAGTACCGTATATAATTTCATATGCATTTAGTAAAAAGGTTTATTTTGACATTACAAATAGACACTACAATTTTATTTATCTGTATAGATGTATAGATTCATATACTTGTTTTCTGTGGCGCCACCAATTTAATGCTTGTCAGCGGTCACTTTTTATACGAGAAATAGTTCTCCTTAGTTCTACCCTCCATATCTCTTTGGTACAGACACAGCATGGCATGTCAAGTCAGCCTTAAGCCACAGATCCTTGAGACAGACAGACAGAAGGACTGCCTCAAACCGCGATATTGCCTGTCCTGTGTTTTAATATTTTAATAATTTTACCTATTAAAACGCAGTATTAGGGAATAGTATTTGACTTTAAGTATCTTAGGTAGTATGAATTGGATGGAGCAAACTAACTAATATGCAGTAAAATTTATAAATATTGTAAACTAAATGGTGTTTTACAAGCAACTACAAAACATCCTACAAGTTAAACTGCAGTAAAGTTATTAAATACTGCATGTCTTTTAGTTTTTCACAAGAAATTACAAAATCCCCCACAAGTTAATGTGCAGTATGGAATGTTAATACTGCACTTTAATTAGGAATATAAATAAAAAATATTTTTTCTTAACCTTTGCAGTATAATCAATTTGTATAGAGTCGAATAATACTGCATTTTAATAAGTTTTTTCTTGAATCTCCTAGAACAAACTACTATTTTAAGTGCCACAAAATATGATAAAACACTGCAGTTTAGTTAGGAAACAGAGAAAAATCTTATGCAGTATTAATTTTACTGCGGTTTAGCTGGTAAACATGAAATATTTTAACAGATTTGTGATATTTTTGCTGTTACACCTTCCGAAAAAACATTAAAATAAAATACTTTTATTAGCGCTACAGAAAAAAGAATTCATTTGACTGATAGCTACTAAAATGGGGATTTAGAATATATATTTAACTCAAAACCGACCAAAATGTCTATTACTGCACTTTAGGCTCAGGTGGGCAGTTTAGACACACGCACGTGTTACATCATATACATATCTTCTGCGCAGATTAGATCTCAGCTAATACTAGCCTTAATAAAATCACTCGCCGTAGCCGAAATCGGTCAGCAGGATATCGCCTTTTGATGGTTTGTAGATTTAAAGAAAATCACTTCATAAAGTTAAATTACATGAGTGTTCATATTGCTAGTTAGAAGTTAAATAAAAACTTTTTAGTTAAAATCGTACCACAACTTCTGAATTACTTTTAACGTAATATTCCGCCATTAGAATCCAAGAATCCAATTTTTTCCAGAAATTTTATGGACATAGATACCACATAAACTGGTAACTACGTAATTTTAAATTGATCATAAAACCATAGACACAAGTTTTGAATAAGCTGATATTTTCACAAGCACAATATTTGAAACTGTATATTTAATTTTATATCCAATAAATGCAGTTTACGATCCCATCCTGGCATTACAGTGATCTGATTGGCAAGTTTATTCACTATCGGGCACAGAGGGACGTTTATAACCGAAACTCATCTCGTAAGCGCTTTATCAAAACGAATTTAATAGAAAATCACTCATTCGAGCTAATATCAAATCACATGCGAATTTACGACTTGAAAAATGTACATTCGACGTATAATACTGAAAGCTGTTGGTTATATATTCAAGAAAAATCATAAATTTATAATATATCGTATTATAATATATCGTATTATAATATAGTATGTTATTTCATAATTCAATTTAAAATTATTTTATAGTATTAATCGAATTAACTTCTATGTTCTCGTAATGTTAAACTACGAAAAGATCAAATAAAATTTTACCTCATATAGGTCCACAATTTGACAATTAAAATAACCTCATCTCTCTTTCACCCAACGCATCTGCAATTGGATGGAAAACAGGATATTCAGTTAGAATATTCGTGATATTTGAATACGTGATTTAGAAAAAACTTCAGTTTAAGATAGAGTAATATGAAACCTGTGTAAAAACAAAGAGGACATAACACTATGGTTAATGGTAGAAATAATCTACAACATTATGATTTATAGTCAACTGATGGACACACAGGCATTTTTAATTACATGTACAATGTACATATATCCATACGTATGCGTATATATAACTTCTTCCTTCCTCGCGTAGTTTAAGGAAGTGCAATCGAACATGACTGGATAGAAACACCATCACGTACGCTTCGAGGATGATGATGATAGCATATTTTCGTCGACTTCCTAAATCCGGATTGCTATTGGGAATTATAATCAACCGCAAAGCCAATTCATGAGACAGTTAATAAAAATATTGTATACTAGGGAGTAGGGACTCACCCTAGCTCCACTCGGGTTCGTCCCTACTTACGTTTTATCGTTTAGTATACATAAATTGTTGTTCTATGTGTGCTTCAGGTATAGTACTTACTTCATCGACTATCATCTATGTAATGAATTTCATCAAAATTAGTCTAGCTATTTCCACGTAAAACAGTAACAAACATACACACAGTGTATTGTTACATACTATATATACATACAAACTTTTACATATAATATGATAATAGTCTAATTTGAGGACTTACAATTTCCAATAAGTAGTTTCTGTAATAGGATTACAATCACGTTATTACCCAAATCGTGCAAGCGCAATTGGCTCAGCAGCCTAATAGAATTAGCTATGAAATGGGGTGAACTCGACACAGGTGCTTTCGGTACTCCACGAATAATTGCTCTTGAGTGACCATTATGACGCTCTAAGCAATAATGTAGCAGCGGCTTTGCTATTCAAGTGTTTATGTATATTAATTATGTTTATACAAATTCAACATTTCAAAATTCTGTAATATATTTTTCAAAGTAGATTTTAGTAAAATTATATTTTGAACCGATCGTATCATGTCACAGACACGTCTTAAAGGTTTTAATTAAAGTAATCTATACATATAATAAAATTCTGAGTCGGACCTGTACATTAAATATTTTTTGGAAAATCTTATTGAAATAGTCATTATAATCGATACAGAGGCCGAACCTACAGTCTTTAGAATTTTTGTCTGTCTGTATGTATGATGATAGTTGGTTATCCGGGTCAACACATAGGATACTTATTACTGCGGAAAAATATGTCATCTCTGAGAAATCTGTACTAAATGTTAAAACGTAACTAGGGACGAACTCGAGCGGAGTGAGGGTGAGTCGCTAGTAAAGTAATAAAATATTATAAGCAAAAAAAATGTTTCTTCAGGACTCTATAATTATAATCTATGTATGTATAATACCATATAGCATGATTATTTTTGAAATAGGAAATAAATAATTAAAAAGTTTGTGTGCTAAAAGTTTTAATATAATTAAAGTTTTAATATAATTAATGATTTTATGGAATGGTGATCGCTTCCAGGCTACTTCAATGTTGTAGAATTGTTGTAATTTTCAAATTCACTTACAAAAAAGACAAAAGAGTAAACTTATGACGTAGTTAGTAGTTATAAGTAGTAGACGTAAAAATTATAATAAAATATTTCTAATTTGAAAGCCAGTCAAATATTACGCCGAGTTGCTTTATTGTATAAAAAACAAACATGCACTACTAAATATGTTAGAGATATAAAATGTATTGCAAACAATATTTCCATAAATAGAAAGCTAAGGTTGTGTAAGCATTATGTATTATTAATGAACAAATTCAAAGCTCCCACCGATAGTAATTGTACCCGTGTAGCCCACGGGACCAGTTGTCCTTGTGTTGCTACGATTCATCCGATTGTTTAACTTGCCTTTGTTACATTATGTACATTACCCATGATATGACTACACTCAAAAACAAATTAAAGAGTATATTTGATTTAATATTTCTATAAATAAAGAATTATATTATAACTAGTGACTTCAACCTCGCTTTACTCGTATATTTAAATAGTTATGAATAGTTATTGCTGGCGTACTACTATGACAGACTACGAGCGCAGTACTATTGCAGATTTTTCTGTAGGCCTTATAATTTTCGAGAACATTGTTTTGATCTATATAAAAAAATACTAAGTATTTTTAACATTTTTATTAATAACAGTTAAGTCAATAGCTATTAAACAAAAAAAAACAAAATCGGTTGATAGAGGAGGAAAAGGTACTGAACTGTTTTATCCTCGCTTATTTATTTAAAAAAATAATAGGATAAAAATTCAAAGCATTCAAGCAAATGAAAGAAAATATAAGTATCCTTATTTCTATGACGCATTCTATTTACATTGTGCGTGTTTAGAAATGATTTCATTTAATTGGTTGAAAGCGTTTTGTTTGGGGAGATTATGTGTGTACTAATCATTTTATTTTACCTGCTTTTTCGGTATGCAAGCAATTTTTTGTTCATATTTATGATATTAGCTTTAAGAAAATACAAGTTTTATTCCTCTATTGATTTTCGATAGCTAACTAGCGACTTTTTCCAAAATGAAAGACAGTATAATTTACAAGAGATTAATTTTAAAAAATATAGAAAATACACTAATTTTATCTATTCTATATCAAATTACTAAAAAGATGACTCTGACAGTCATGAACTTAATCAATCACCCATCAACGACGTTCTTAATTCCTTCAAACTCAATAAGAAAAAAAGGAAATCTGAACCTTATCTCTAATAAAATAGATGCTAAAATCTTATTTTTTAAAAACACGGGATAATAAAGCCTACGACACTGCACATAAGTGTGGAAGTCCACAGCATCTGAGATAATGTAGAAAGAAACAGATTGAGGGACGAAAGTGATTAAGCGAGTATTGGAAGCAATGTCCTCGAGGTTGGAAAAACAATTAACTCACTGGACGTTAGCAATAAATCTGAACTTGAGATACTTTGATTGGATCGAGATCAAAATCTTTTAGCTCAAACACGTCGGAGGTACTCGTGTCAAATGAAATTCATATAATAAAATTCTGTGTAGAATCTGTATATTAAATATTTACTATATATTTAATGAGGCAGTGGTAGCCCAGTGGTAACACGCTCGCTTGGGACACCGAGTGAAGCGGGTTCAAATCCCGAGTCTCGCACCTCTGATATTTTCATGTGCGAATCATTTCTAACATGATTACCGCTTGCCTTACGGTGAAGAAAAACATCGTGAGGAAACCTGCATGTATGAGAGAACCTAGCAAGTTTTCGAAAGACATGTGAAGTCCGCCAACCCGCACTTGGCCAGCGTGGTGGACTATGGCCTGATCCCCCCACGTATTGAAGGGAGGCCCGTGCCCAGCAGTGGGACATTAAAAAAAAAAGGGCTGAATACATACATATATTTAATAATCATTGTTATCGATACAGAGGCTGAATCTTTAGTTTTTAGAATTTTTGTTTGTCTGCTTGTCTGTCTGTCTCTAAACGCATCACGAGAAAACCACTGGACAGATTTTGATGAGTTTGGTATCCAGGTCAACATATAGGATACTTTTTACTGCGGGAAAATATCTCATTTCTGAGAAGTCTATACTAATCTTTAAATCGTAATTATATTATAGTACTACTTAGATTTAGTATTCAATTTTACAACAATGTAGGTACAGCCGTAAAAATAGGTACCCCGTGTAAAGTTACTCATTCAAAAGCTCATGCAAAAGCAAAAAGAGTACATCTGGTTTTTACTTTTGTGATTGATATAATTTATATCCCTATCTTTCTCCTGCATTTAACCAACTAAGTTGTATTAAAAAATAGAATCCCATATATATATATATATATATATATATTATAAGATGGTATGACTTTTCAATTCATCCCCTAAAGACAAAATAGGGGGTGAAAGTTTGCGAGAAAGTCATCTTTCTAGAAGTTAGAAATATTGAAATTGATGTTTAAGCTTTGTTGGTCCATACTCAATTCGTGCATAGCTAAAAAATCCAAAATATTTTCACTGTCCCTATTAAAAGAATCTAATGCCGGACGGAAGTTCTGAGCATTTACCCTCTTTCTGGAACAATCGAATAAATTACGATATCTAAGAAAATCTAATAGAAAAATCTATATTTTACCAAAACAAATTAATAAAACTCTTCCATCGTCCAACCGTTGACATATATTTCATCAAATTTGATGTGGTTCTTGGTAAATTACTGCTTTCTTTAATAGACTGTTGTAAAACTGTCAGTGAGGGCACTCTGGCAGTCGGTCTGTTTCGTATTCACGCTTTGCACCGAACGAGCTGTCATCACTTAAATATGTAGCGCGAGGTGATATGGGTCCTCCGCCTATATCTTTGGGTTTGTTATTTATACTTGATTTATTTATTTGCCTGTACAGTGTGCTTCCTTACAAAATGAAGTAGGCGGAACTGTTTTTATATCACTTAATTAAAGTACGAATACGGAGTGATTATACAACTAAAAACCATGTTATTATATGAATGTGATCTTGTAGTAGGGGAGCCCAAGAGGAGATTTTTGTAGTTACTCAAGCGCGGCAGATTAACATAAAAGAGGTTACCTTGCACTCTATTGAGTACTTTCACCATAATATAAGTCTTCTATATAAAAGCGCGCGCCTAGGGAAGCCGATCAAAATATTTAAAAAATGTTTTGATAAGGTAGAAATACTTGAAACCGTCAGATTAAGGTGTGGTAGGCTAGCCGCATCCTGAAAAGTGTCCAATTCAATAATCTGCCGATTTGCACAAGCCGAAGAGGCAAAAATCGACTATAAAGTTTATGATGATGTTTATGATGATAGGATACTTTTTACTGCAGGAAAATATCTCATTTCTGAGAAATCTATACTAAATGTTAAAATGTAACTAGGGACGAACGCGAGCAGAGCGAGGGTGAGTCGCTAGTAGAATAAGTAACTGTGAAAATATCTGCTTAGTACCTATACTATATAAGCATAATCTGATATTATAAAATTTTTGTAACAGCAAGTGTTCACTTATTTTCCCAGCACACAATAAATGTTACTGTCTACATTCGCGAAGCTTATTTATAAGCTAATTAAAAGTTAAAATATTTATAGCCTTCTTTGAATATTTTTAGCATTATTTAGAAAGAGAATCCTTAAGCTTCAACATAAAAAACCAAAGCTTTTTGTAGACATCTACTACTCAAGTCAGTCCTAAGCAGAAGGTGTTGAAAACTTATTTATGTTTGTTTAACTTAACTTTTAACTGTAACTTACTGCAGTATAGTTTGCTTGTTTATTTATGAAAAAACCTTAGTAGAGAAGTTTTTCAGAATAAAAATGCACATTTAAATTAAACCAGTGATCACCTTAAAACATTTGAGGAAAACATATATTATAAATAGAATTTACCTGTATATAAAAAGAAACTAACTGCCTCCAAATATTTTATTGACAACATTAAAGTTCGTTAAAAGCTACTAAACAAAAAAAAAAGAAAATCGGTTGACAAACAGAGAAGAAAAAAGTATTAAACTATTTTATTTTTGCCTATTTAAATATAGACATTCATACATACTTACATTTTAACGTTTAGTATAGATTTCTCAGGGATGAGATCCCGCATTAAAAAGTATCATATACGAGTATGTTGACCCAGATCATCATACCAAATTTCATCAAAATCTGTCCAGTGATTTTCTCGTGATGCGTTCCCAGATAGACAAAAATTCAAAAAAATTATAGATTCGGCCTCTGTATCGATAATAATGATTCTTTCAATGAGATTGTCCAAAAAATATTTAATGTAGATTCGAATCAGTTAAAATTTTATTATATGTACTATATATAAAGAATAAACATACTAATGTACATAAATCAACATAAGTTTAAATGAACCTGGTTAAAAACAAACCGTAACATCAAAAAACAAAATGTTCGGTAACTAACAAGAGTGCCATTTTATTTATATTTATTTATATTTTATATATAAAAAAATGTTTATTATTCATGAAATGTATATTATGATAGTACGAGTTACTAATCTGCATGAGCTACTCTACATAGAGACGCGGGCGGTTTAAAAAGGGCTTTAATTAATGTGATTTAAATTCATTATACCATAAATTACAACATTGTTTGAATGTTTCAGCGACCGCGTTTGTACACGAACGTATGGGAATTTCGTCACATAGTTTTATTTAATTCATAAACAATATGTTTATGTATCTGTACCGCAATATATTAGTGGCAGCTTTTTGTGATTGTTTTACTAACATGCTTTAATTTCAACCGTATTATTATAGCTATTAAATTTGTATGGTCGCGGGAGAGTTTCTCTGTATAGTTTTATTGTATTCAGCCCTTTTTAACATCCAACTGCTGGGCTCGAGCCTCCCTTCAATACGAGGGGGATCAGTCCATAGTCCACCACGCTGGCCAAGTGCGGGGTGGACTTCACATGTCTTTCTAAATTTGCTAGGTTCCCTTAGACATGCAGTTTTCCTCACGATGTTTTCGTTCACCGTAAGAGAAGTAGGACATGATTCATAATGAAAATATCAGAAGTACGAAATCCGGGATTTGAACCCGCTTCATGCGGTTTGAGAAACGAGTAAGTTCCTACTGGACTACCATGGCCCATAGTTTTATTATTAGTCACTGATGACATTTCTAATAAGATAAGATACTTCTTAGATTGATTTTTTAAATATTTTCGAAAACTAATAGATACTATTCGATTAGTCTTTTAAAAGAATAGCTTCTCTCTTCTCTAGAAATAGGTCATATATAGAAAATAATACCACCTATAGTAAGATTTGTTTATATAACTTAATTGACTTATTTTATAATATATCGATCTCACACGGCTCTG